TTCTGACCCAGTTAGAGTCCTGGAAAGTCTTTCACGTTAATTTGGAGGTTGTGCAATCCTACAATTACAAACTTCACCCCAGAGGGATTTAATATGACAAAATAAAGTCAGAAAAATGTGGCATGCCTTTGCATTCAGCGCCGTTTTTGCTCATTTTACTCCATGTGTGAAGCTAAATCTAAATAGGAAGCACTGCATGGATGCTCATGCATTTACCGTGAGAGTGAACGCTGCAACTCCATCGTTCAGCCTGAAAGTGGGAACTCTTTTCTTTTACAGGTTTACTTTGATTGGGAGCTAAGTACAAGAAAAAACTTCACCCAGGATGTGAAAACTGTAAATATCCTAAGAGTGTCAGAGCAACAAAAGCACGTTTTGTGTTCAAGAAACATTCGCACGCAAAGACACACCGAACGGATGACTTTTAACTGTCGAGGTTTATTTACATAAGACAAGTTTACAGGCATTGTGAGATTTTTTTTTTCTACATTTGCACACGTGGTAACACAGGAAATATCTCCACAGAGCACAAGCAAAGCACATCCTTTGATCGATTTCTCCGAACAAGCCAAGCTTTTTAAGTGTAGCTTTTCCCCTACAGTGAGTAATCTCTCCATGGTCTCATGGGCTAAGAAAATTGCACTTCTTAAAATGTAAATATGACAGGTTAAAGTTGATTATAGCCCCTAAAAAGAGGCCACTCTTCTGAGTGCTCCTATAATTTGATAGTATGGTCTGTGGTTGCTGTCAGCACATGGTGGCGGAGGCGTCTGATGCGAGCAGCAGAGTTTACAACGCAGCGAGCGCACTGAGAAGCAGAACAGAGTCGGCACACAAAAACCAGAAAAGACAAGACGGTCCCGTCCTGAAGCGGAGTAAAATATTACTGCAGAAAGAATAATAACAATAATAAAATCTGTTCACAGTGAAGCACCAGAAAGTACAGAGGCAGAACCGCGTGGAGAGATTAGAAGTACAAAACGAGACATCATCTGTGCATACAACTTGTTTGATTTACTTTTGAAAATGACCACACCGAGCAGCAGGTGGCATGCTTCCTAATGCTGGCACCAACCTTTACAAATTCATGCAAAGATGACCTGAGTTGAGTCCTCCCTGTCAGGAAACGGCAGCCTGAACAGAGGAGTACGAAAAGTGAAGTGGAGGGGATATCAGAAGTCTTAAAGCAGTAGTTAAAAAGCAGAAGTTAAAAAGCATCTTTTTTTTTCCTTCTGATAACATGTTTTTTTGCTATAATAATTTTTTGCTAAAATAAGTTATTTAATCCCAATCCTCCTCCCTACTACATTTGTTCACACTTGCATTCAGGAGCCACCCTGTGCCTGTAATGAGTAAAGATCGTTTCTCGGTTAAGACAAAACCGTTTCTAATTCTTTGGGGGTAAATCTATGTTCACAAAAATTTTTTTTCCAGTTGTTACAAAAAAGGTGCAGCATCAAGAAGCTGATCAGAACCAACAAACGTGAGGTATCTTATTTTAATAAATCCCTTTTAAATTGGGTATGCTAAATGAGATAGGTGATGTTTTTTTCTCTCTGAAAAATGTAATTGTTCCATGAGGAGAACAGGTGTCCTTTAAACTGAAAGCAGGTTTTCTGTGAACCCCTGTCATCATGACTGCAGTCAGACTACAAAAACACAGAAAAATTGAAAAATGTAGAAATCTACCCATATTTTAACTTTTTTTTTTTTTTTTTTTTTTACTTTTAAAATGATTAATTGAGCTGCTGGACAGATGTTTTTCTGTCAAATTGGCCAAATTCACATTAGATTTGGATTGT